AATCACATCACAAAACATAACCACTGTTAGCATTAGGGAGTGTATCTTTCCAGATGCTTCTCTACATATAAACACACATGCACATGTGCCCCTGCACCCACCTGACACATTTTATTGCAAATTAAGCTCAACAATATGTACTCTTTTGAAACTTTATATTTTCACTTAATATATGTCCTTCGCATGTCAACGCATATAAATCCGTCACTACTTTTAATTGCTAAAAAGTGTTTTATTATAAGCATGTTTCATAAATTATTTAGTGATTTCTTAATGATTTAATTTTTTTTTAAGATTTGCCACAGGTCTATAGTAGTAAAATGAAGACAGGGGCAAATTACCAGAATAATTCTACTGTCTCAAAAACATTCGCCAAAAACATACTGCCAATCAAGGATGTTTTTGGCATTTGCTTTGCTGTTTTGAGTGAGCATAAATGATTAAATTGTGGAGAATGAGAGCCTCCATCCCCTAAGCTTTCCTAGGCACCTCATCGAAGAGTCAAGGAAATTCAGACTAGGACACGTCCCTTACGTTTCCATCATCATCGTTTAACTGAAGCCTAATGTTTCTCTTCCAGTACTAGCCAGGGTGGGAGGCAGAGGTGATGGGGGTCCTTCACGACAAACAAGCAATGGTTTACAACCACGCTCTTTGGAGATAAGTTCAGGCATGATATACAAGCAGCCACGTGATATTTTGAGGTGTCTCATAAAAGAGTATAGAAACGGGAAGGATAAGGACAAATATTCACAACTTGCATGACTCGTGTCTCATTAGACTGGATCATGATGGCTAAAGCCAGACGGCACTTTAAGTAAATCTCTGACAAAGTCAAGTAGAAGAGGCTGATAAAATCTAACCTCCGGAGCCACAGGGAAGACATCCAGCCTTCTGCAGATCATGGTAATCCAGGTCTGTCTGGAGCGGCCACTCCCGGTGGCTGTACAGGAACCCTGAGTCCCAGATCAGAGCACTGACTCACCAGCCTCCCCAAGCACAGCTGGCCTCCCAGGCAAACTGCTGACTCCTCTAAAGATCTTGGCTTTCTGAAGCCCCTCACCCCTTGGACTCCTCTGTAAGCTGATCGTGGCGCCCTCCCTCTGCACCACCTTGGCCTCGCTGGTCTAGCACTGGAGCATGCTCAGGATCTTTCCCTGACCAGCCTGCCCATTTTGGTAGGAGTCTCTGAACTCTCCTGATGTCTCAGCAAACCCCTTCCCCTTTTGTCTCCATACCTTCCTCTCGATCACTCAGCCCTGCTAGGTGGACCCGTCACCTGCCAGGCCCCGCTTAAACTGCCTTCTCTTGGCTGTGGTTGTCCTCCGCCACTGCGCCAGCCTCAAAGTGCACAAGCTCAACAGGCCCGTGCCAGTCTCATACCAGCCCCTGGCTTCGTTCAGGGAGCAAATCTGTCCCTCTGCCCCTAAGGGTGACCCAGAATCTCCCCAGCTCCTGGGTAGAATCTCCCCAGCTCGGTGTGAAGGCTGGGGTAGGTACGACCTGTTGTGCTGTTTTCTTCGGCTCTAATACTGAAAGTTTAAATTTCTACTGTAGTAACCTCGGTAAGCAGAAATACCCTTTCTAATGTTTTGGAAACAGCTTTGATTAGTTGAGAAATAATAAAAATGAGCTCTCACTTACGGAACACGGTGAGCCAGGTACTATGCTAAGTGGGTTACATCCCGTATCTCATGTAACCCCCCAAACAGGCCTTTCAACAATGCACTACTATCCCCATTTAAAGATGAACTTGAGGGGTTGCTGGGAAGTTTCCATCAATGAGCTATCTGGAACAGACTCACACAGAAGACAAACTTACGGTTACCAGGGGGGAAGGGGAGGGTGGGAAGGGAAAAACTAGGAGTTAGAGATTAGCAGATACACACTACTGTATATAAAACAGATAAACAACAAGGTCTTACTGTATAGCATAGGGGCCTATATTCAATATCTTGTAATAGCCTATAATGAAAAAGAATACGAAAAGGAATATATATATGTACAACTGAATAACTATGCTGTACACTAGAAATTAACACAACATTGTAAGCTGACTATACTTCAATAAAAAAGAAAGGAAGAAAAAAAAAAGCCATCTGGCAAAGAAGCCATGCACTTAATCACAGCATACTGCATCTCTAACAGTGTTTCTCTTTTCTGTTTCTTTTCTTCCTTTTCTTTTCTTTTTCTTTTTTCCATTTCCCCCTAATTTCTTCTTATTGACTTTTTATTATGGAAACTTTCAGATCTACACAAAGGTAGACAGAGCAGCGTAAATAACCATCACCCAGCTTCAGCAGCCACAAGCACATGGCCAATTTTGTTTCATCCACATTCTCACCTATCCTCTCTCTCCCTCTCCCATCCTGCCCAAACTGTATTATTTTGAAACAAAGTCCAAATATCATATCATTTCAGGTGTAAACATCTCTCTAAAATATGTAACATTTCTAATCCTGATCCTATTAAGGTCCTAAAACAAACTTGTGAGAGTAGCTCCTAAGCCTCCTGACCACCCAGTTCCAACTAATCCTTCTAGATTATCTCCTAATCCTTCCACACACAGGTCCCACTCTAAGCCAGTTTTGTGTAGGGCGGTCCCAGAGCATCTGAAAGAAAAGGGGCTGTAGTCTATGTCTTGACTGTAACAGATATCGCATGGTAACACACAATAACCAAAATCATCAACCACACACTACACGTCATGACTTTTATTGTATGCAAATATCGCAATAAACCAAAAGGAGAACTTTTTTTTAGAAAAACAAAAAAGAGCACAGAATTAAAGCCAAATATTCTGCCCACTGAATTTCTGTAGATGAGTAAGCCAATTTAGATAATCTGGGATAAACCAGAGAGACCTGGCAAGAAAAGTCAGCCTTCCAGAAAGTGACAGACCTGTTACTGGAAGTATCAAAACCCAGTGTATCTGTTTACTGGCCTGGCAGTTAAACCAAGCATTTCAGTAAATGACTCTGGGGAGAAAAATGGACTTGAATCAAGGAAAGGAAAATGGAAACCATCTGATTTTCCCTTTAGGTCAAACAGTGACTTGGCAAGAAATAGCAGCAGAAAAAAACATAGAAAAAAATTGGCACCAACTTACTAAAAAGAGAATTTCATCTTCACAGCTAATGACATTATATAGGGGCATTGGAAATCAATAAAGCAATGTTTCCCAGTGACTTCAAAAATAAAAAGCTGCAAAAATTGGGGTTAAAATTTATCATTTAGAAAGTAACACTTGTCAGTGGTACACACAGAAGACATTTTTGTTTTACTTTATATAAAAGAACTAAGCAATCAAATAGCACAGGGAACTATATTCGATATCTTGTAATAGCCTATAATGAAAAAATAATATGAAAATGAATATATATTTATGTCTAACTGAATCACTATGCTGTACACCAGAAATAGCACAACATTGTAAATCAACTCTACTTCAATTTAGAAAAAAATAAAAATAATCTTATCCACCCTCTCATGTTTTGGATTTCTTAAATATATATTTTTTTATTTTACGACAGTTTTAGATTCGCGGAATTATTGCCAAGATAGTATAATTAGTTCTCATATACCCCACACTGTTTCTCCTATTATTAACATCTTGCATTAGTATGGTACATTTTTCATAATTAACAAAACAATATTAATGTGTTATCATTAACTGAAGCTCACCCATTTTTCAGATTTTCTTTGTTTTACCTAGTATCTTTTTCTGTTCCAGGATCCCACCAGGAAACAGCATCGTATTTAGTTTTGATATCTCCTCGAGAATTTCCTGATTATGAGTTTCTCAGGCTTACCTTATTTTTGGTGACCCTGACCGTTCTGAGGACTACGGATCAGGTATTTTGTAGACTGTCCCTCAACTGGGCATTGTCTGATGTTTTCCTCATGGTTAGAATGCAACTGACTTCTAAAATACCTTTTGCTTCCTTCTTTAACTCTTAAAAATCACCATAACATCATATCATAATAATCTGGAGTATTACTCAGATAATCATTCAATCTAGTTTAAAATAAAAATTCCTGAAATCTACAGTAGATTTAAATGAATGTTTCAAAGTGAATTACCAGTCACATTAACGCTCTAAAATATAGCTATTATTTTATATACTCTACTGTATAAAACCACATTAATAACATTAATTAATTGAGCTTCAAATAAGATGCAATAATGAATCTACAGCTAGGCAGTCGTAATTCCAAAAATTGCAGGGAGTTATTTTTTACTAGGTAATTTATGCATTTTATGAAATTAAATTATGTATTTTGATATAGTTTCTTCTAAATTACAGGCGGATTGAAAAAAAAAGTCATTTTCCAAGTGGTTTTAAGGAATGAAGATAGTCTTGAAATATGAGGGAAAACATGATCCCCTCATTATTACTACCTAGATGTTATAATTTATTAGCTCTTACTATTAACCTGTTCAAATCTAACAGAGGAATGTAAAAGTACAGTTTAGCACATAAAGGGAAGAAAAATGAACCCCATTGATAAAGCCCCTGGACCCGTGACAGGTCATTTTCTCCTGATGCAACTCACCTTACTGATGATGGAAAAAATTCACAGGAATTTCCCGGTCAGTCAAGTACTGGATTTTCACCCAGACTTTTATAAAATATTTTAGTAAATCAGTCCAAGATTATCACTTGTCTTTCACCCTAAAGACAAGGTGGACAGAAGTCGGCTGTGTTCAGCACCCCGGGGGGGAAGCGCTACCTGACACGACCTTGACAAAGGCGAACCAGCTCTAGTCTTTGACGGGGGGAGAGATATACACAGCGAGACAGATGGAAAAGACATGTTGTGAAATATCCTTGTCAGAGAAAGAAGTCTGTTTCCCAGAGTCCACAGCACCCCAGAGCGCACAGCACCCCAGATGCACAGCATACCAGAGCCCACAGCATCCCAGAGCCCACGGCACCCCAGAGCCCATGGCACCCCAGAGCCCATGGCACCCCAGAGCGCACAGCACCCCAGATGCACAGCATACCAGAGCCCACAGCATCCCAGAGCCCACGGCACCCTAGAGCCCACGACACCCCAGAGCCCACAGCACCCCAGAGCATACAGCATCCCAGAGCCCATGGCACCCCAGAGCACACGGCATCCCAGAGCATACAGCATCCACCTGGCAGACTGGCTAATCACATGGTGGGTGCAGAGCTCTGACCAGAGCTTCTGGGCATCAAAGACATCCTGATCCTGCAGACTGCTTGGCCAGCCGACTGTGGGGGCTCTGTGAGCATTTATCAGAAAAACGAGTAAGGAAACTTCGTCCCAAGAAGAGCGCAGGTGGCCACCCACAGCCTCTTAGCAGATGCCTAAAGCCCTTCTTCAAGCAGCCTCACAAAAGGTTTGTCAACAAAGCCCAGAGATCAGACCGGCTTCTTAAACTTAGCAGGCACACGCGTGTCTACGCCCGCGACTGCTCTCACTGCTCACTTTCTGATGTGAAATCCGTAGAAGCAGGTCCAGGGATGGAGGTCACAAAAGAGAATTTCACCTTCTGAGAGGAGCCTCGCTCCTGATCTCCCCATTTGTATCCCAGCCTGTTAATATCTCAGACCAAACCAAAGAAAACAGAAGCAAACGTGTGCAGCCCTAAAAGTGGTTTCACTCGCATCAGTGATGTATGCGCATTACATTTCTAAGAAATGGGAAAGAAATCACCTAATCATAGAAGGTAAAATGAAAAAGAGACATAAATCTCATCTGGTCCAACCCCACATCTGATTAATGAAGGGAAAACACAGGCTTCACAACACAGCAGAAATTAAAAGGGCAGGGTTTTAAAAAACAAACAAGATTCAGCCAAGTTTCCCCTAGTGAATCAGGATCAACGTGGAAGAAACGACGTACCTGTTGAGAGCTGATGCTTATAGGCTGTTTTAAAACGATCCACGTGACGCTCTCTAGAAGAGGCGGGACTGTAAGGGAACCAGGATACGTCCAGTAATCCCAGGATGGAGGAAGCAGAGATAACGGGTCAAAATTCGTGAATCGAGTTTGTTTACCCTGAGGAAGAAAAGAGAACTCCCACCAATTACAACGGGGAAGCTTTACACAGACCTCAGAAAAGCATGCACCATGTTAATATTATTTCATAGAATTCCTTAATGCATGGAATTATTTAGTATCTGCTTTTCATATCTTAAAAAAAAGTATATGCTTTAATCTAAAAATTTTAGATGAGGTAGTGTGTCACCTCGATTAAGAAGCACAAGATTTATTACATGTAAGTGGTTTTTTATAAGTGTTGCAACTAAACGCTTATTCTGCAAAACGTCAACAAAAGAAACTAACGCTGCATAAATTTATTACTGATTTTAGATCATTTAAGACCCCTTCATAATTTTCAAGAGATAAATGGTAATAAATTATTTCTGCTCTGTTGGTCAAGTATGTTCCAAACCTGCTTCAAAGCAGGCAGCATATGCTATGTCTAAGTTTTTTAAAAGCAGAGAAGAGAATTCAGGTGAAATCAAGGAATATATTAGTTACTAATAAAGAGAAATTAATTTTACCTTTTCTTTGATCAACTCCAAAATGTCAGTAATCTTTTGAAGCTGAGAATTATGTTCACCAACCTGAAAACAGGAAATTTCAGAAGACATGGTTACTGGAGAAGATCAGGTCTGAATCACTTCATTTAGTCACTGTTTTTAAATTCTTTTATTGGAAACCCTAAGCCAGCAGAGAACAAGCAGTGATTGTTCTGCACCGAGGCTGCCTTTCACCTGCCAGCCTTATCACGCCCGAAAAATCTAAACAGGATAATGTTACAGGGCTCCCTGGCTGAACTACAACTTTGACTCCAAAACTAGCAGTAACCACTTCATACTTCTTCTGCTTTATGAACAAGTAGGATGCAGGTTAACTTGGGAGAAGCCTTGCTGAGGAAACTCTTACCCTGACACCTGCACTGTTAAACCAGACGTGACTTTCAGACCCTAGATCCACACCGACCATTGTGACATCAAAACATTAACAGAAAACATCACCTAGTTTCAGCCTAAAATGGTTTGAGGTCTTGAATCAAGGTGATATATCATCATGAGAAGAATCCTTTATATATATTTTTCTTTCGTGATTAGGGGTGTCCTGAATCTACCTGAAGGTTTTAAGTCCTCCAGGACTAAAGTATAATCTCTTGCCCCACTTGGATCCCAACAGACTGGGGACCAAAGGGAAGGACTGTGGCCACGCATGCCAGTCCCCACTCTGCCCCAAGCCTCCCCGAGTCCAGTGCAGCAAGTTATATCACACGCACAGTCGGTGGCATAAGGGAAGCGCACGCCCTAAAGAATGTGGTCGCAGTGGGAGCTGAGTGGCCCCACCCACCCTCAGATGTTACAATAGTGATTCCTGTCTGACCACATGTGAATATCTGACAAAGGGAAATATAACAAAGTCTTTAAAAAATGCTCAGTGCCTTTGGGACAACAAACCACTGTGGTAAAACTAGTGCTTCAAGCACTGGGAACTTGAACCTTACCCTGTCCTGCATCTCCAAACATTGAGAATCCAGAAGAGTCTATTATACAGAGTTGCTTCCCAAGATCTCAGCTCTTACTCCTGCTTCTCTTGCTGTTGCTGCCGCATTTGCTATTCTCATAAAAGCGATCAATGGACAATAAAAGGAACCATAAGACAATGCCCCTGGGGGAGTATTGGACCATCAGATGAATTATAAATTAATATATAATATTTTAATATTTATGTCAAAAGAAAACATTAAACCTAGAACTAGTTTACTATTTAAAAATGGTAGAATGTCTACTCCATCGCTGAAACGCTTGATCCAACCTGGTTGACTAGTTATTCAATGAGATCCGTGGCTTCTCACCTGTAAAAATACTCCCAAGACAGCTAATCCATCCGGCTCGTGAGCTGCCTCAACAAAGCTGGGGTATTTGTCTGAATTCCAGTGAACGATGTGGAGCTGATTGCAGAGGAATACAAATAACTTAAATGTTAATTTTTTTAAAAATCCTTAAAAACATAAAGGCAAATGAAATATTTATATAGATGTTCTGGCGCTGTGCACTTACAGGTATAATGTATCCCTCACAAGAACCTTGAACAGAATCTTCCTGTTCACTTTTGTCTAGAAACTACAGCACACGCAGTGAAGGATGTGTCACTTAGCTAGTCTGCGGAGGACTGTGTTGAGCTCTGCGTCACTAGAACTCTCTGGAGCGCCCAGCCATTGCTCCCAAGTGACCTGGGCTCCTTCTCCGTGTCCACAGATGGGACCTCAAACATGCAGCCCTCAGTCATCCCCCAGCTGGTGGCAGAGGCCGACGCACAAGCTCAGGCTCACAGGCAGGCGGAGAAGTCAACCCTGCACGGCAGGTGCACCAGGGACAGTCCTGCTGCTGAGGACAGTGCCAGTTTTTCCTGAAACTGCCCAGTCCCGTGTTCACTACTGTAGTTCAAGACTCTTTATGGCTTGAAAATGCAAATTCTCCTGAAGGGTAACCTTCACCCATTTTCTGCCTTCTAGGAGAATGTTCTGATCCTTTGCTGATCCTTTGCAAGTTTTAACAGGGGTAAGAGGCTTCCGGGTCTTGCAGCCAGAGGTGTCTGTGAAAGAAAATGAGAGGCAGCTGGTGCTGCCGGCAAGGAGAAGAGGGAAAAAGGGAGAGACGAGGAGATGGGGACCTGGAACCCTAGGAAACAGGCTGCTGCACCCACTTCACAACTCGACCCCACGTGTGTGGCCGTCTGCAAAAATCCAAACGTGTCCTAAAGTCCTAC